CCACTAAGAAAATAATAACAAAAAAGCTGCAAGCCCAGCTCATTGAAGTATGACATGTAAAAAAGACCCCAAGCTTATAGTTATTCCTTTAGTGCACACGAACATGCACACCTGTGCTCCATTTTACCTAACCATGACAAATCTCAGGAGACACTCTTTAAACATCCAGCTCCATCTCTCAATAATGTTCAGCAAGCTCATTTTCAAAGGCTTCATATCCACTTTGAAAAATTTTCAAGTCTTCAGAGTTGCTTATCTGAGCATAAAGATTTTCACAGATGCCAATCCAGAGCAGAAGAAAGAAATAAATGCGTATACTCCTCCAATTTTTTCCCCACACAAAAACGCCAGTTACTAAGACCAGATGCTTTCTTGCCTCCTCCTTAAATAGTTTAATAGCAGGAGGCTGTTGAGAGACTTAGTCAGAAAGAAGCGTCTTTGTGGATGCTAAACCATGACCACAGAGAAGGAATTGCTTCATAAACTCAGGCCAGTCCTCCAGCCAGAGACACACAGAGCTAGCAAGAGATCTGCTGTACTCCAGAGCTTTGTTGGTAACATTTGCCACTCTCTCCATAGTCTCCCGCCTGATTTCAGACAGATCAAACATGTTGCCCTTATCATTCCAGGCATCAAAAGACAAATGTTGTTATTTCAGTGAGACAGCAATACCAATTGGTTAAATTTACATGCAGATGAAAGAATGGAATTCCACCCCTTTTCCCCAGAGATCTATTAAAAATAAAAACTACAACTCACTCAGCTGTTCCTATTTTGGGTTTACATTTCATTATATGAACACATAAAACCAAACTGAGTACATACCCTTTGCAAGTTATTCAAAGTTGAACTTTTCATGGACTGTACATAATTCCGTCCACCAGTTTAGTGGATAATCCCTTACTTGTCTAAGAGATTATGTCCAGATTCACAGACTTCAACATGGCACCCAAAATGGAAGATCACAGCACAGGAACCAAGAGATAAATATTCAGCTAATCTAAATTAGCTTTGTGTAAAATGGATGACTTCATTCTGCTGCTCACAGCTGCAGAAGTGGGTGAAAGCATGAGTAAGCCTTTGGAAATGAACGGGACTGTGCCTCTACAAACTGCATAACACAACAGATGAGGCTCAGGATTTGAAGACAGATGCTACTAAACAAGTTTGCAATTAAAAATAAACTTCTCACAGCTTACAATTACTTGGATTCATTATTTCCAAACACAAGAGAAGCATTCCCTGGTAGTGCTCTGATCCCAGGTGTGCTTCTATCCTTTTCACCTGGGCAGACATTCGGAAAACATCACCCAGGAGTTCATCTACTAGGTCATAAAAAGCCATCACCAACCTCTTTATCTAGAGTAGGTTTAAACTGCATCTCTGGGCCATTGGGAATCATTTGTGCTTGAAAAAGTGGAGCTGGCTTCAAACTCTCTTCTGTGATCTGCACAAAATAGTCTAAAGAACGCGTGACAGTGTCACACAAACCATCAACTACAATGTCATCAATGTACTCTACATAAATCTTCCAAGAGGCTGAACAGGAATCTGCTTTGGAGAGCTTTAAATTTCCCTAAATAAGCAAACAAAGAAACAACAACTGAAAAGTACTTTAATATATGGTTGTGTTAATGTATATCTTTATTTAATGCACCTCTTTGTTTCAGTTTTATTTTATATACCTGATGCATATCACAAAATAGTAATCGCTAATATTTCTTGTATCAACTGTGCTCCTCGACTAAACTGGTCAGTGTAGGAGAATCCTGAACCTCCTTGGAACCCTGCATTGAAAAGACTACAGGTTGGCAGAGAACTATCAAACAGTACAGCAACTTCGATGGAACATCCACACTTTGTAAGAATACTTCTGCATGTTTGCTCTGCATTGCTGTATCAACCCTTTTTATATTTAACTAAACGTTAGAGACCTTTATTTTGATCTTTTTAAAGAAATATCAATAGTATAAAGACAATAATACAAATAAAATTAGGTCAGAAACTGAACTACAAGGTACTCCAGACAGTAACATTAAGAGTAATGTTGATAACGCACACAAAAATTTGTTGCAGTAGACTCAGAAGCAGGTCCCTCAAAAAATTAGCAAAAATGGGGCAGAGACACAAAAACCCCCTGCTTCTCTGGTCACTGTACCACATATCACTTGTAGTGACGTAATGCAGCAGTTCATATTTAACGATATTATAAGGATATTATAATTTGATTTAGCATTCATAAGTAAACCAGCGAATTACACTATCTGTCATGTATTTTTAATTACACATATAAGGAAGGAACATTCACATTTAAAATCAAAGTTATTTCACAATATATCTAGTCCAAGAAAGTGTTTTGAGATAATTTCTCCAGCTGCAGAAATTACTTTACCCATGGGGATCACAACATAGCTCAGGGTAACAAAAACAAGACAGCGGCATTATCATGAGTGCAGCTTGCCAGTCATTCCCAATCCACCAACTATTAGAAGACCTAATATTCTTTTCAAATGTTGCCCAAAACAAGTCTCTCTTCTCCCTATTTGTGCTCAAACATCAGTCTTAAAGAAATTTCAAGCAGTTCATGCAATTAACACAAATAACTGAACAAAACCATACCAGTGACCAAGTATTAATAAATATTTAATACCCATATGACCACATCAAGATACAGCTCACTTGGCCATTACCTCAACAAGACGATGGATCTGGTAGCTACTTTCTTGCAGCACTGTGTATATTTTAGCAAGTCTTTCTCCTTTGTCATGCAGGTTATAGAGCTTCTTTTTTACCTTTCCTGAAAAAGCAGGCGTGTTCCATCCAAGCATCCACGATTCCCTGGATTGACCTAACATTGTCCTCTGATGGCTGAACTCTCTGCTCCAGATCACACACTGACATTTTCACGTGTTTGATGCAGTCCCTGTGGGTTGTCTCCTGCCATGTGCTTCTTTTAGCAGGTCATCAATAGTTCTCAGCTCTTTTTCAAATCAGAAGACATTCTACCTGCAGAGTAGCCTGCACTAGCCTGTTGTACAGCTGAGCGACAAGTTCAAGGTTTCTGACACACTGTTGGTGGGAAGGACACACACAGGATGCAATCCCTCTCATGTCCCACACGTGATTACTATGCACGTTGCTGAGCGGAACAGCTATTTGAGGGAGATCTATATATGAAAGGGAAACCATGCAGACCCTGAATGTCTCAAAACAGAACAGGCTGCCGGGTAGAAGGTAAGCTACGGGAAGGCAACTGGATCCACAGTTGCCGGGAGATCCAGGCTGGCAGTGCCCCCAGGTGTCTAACGCTCGGCTGTGGCCAGCATCGCAAGCCGAAGCGTAGGCTGTGGGTGGGATTCTGTTAGACAAAGATGTGATATTTCCTTTCAAAGGATAGTCAGAGCCATGCATGTGCTCACACATGTGCATACAAGCTGTGAGGGCTGGGGGGAAGAAAAAAGAAAAGACAAAACACACTTTGCTGTCACATCCCACCATCACGAACCTTTGCTAAATTGTTCTGTTTCTCATATATAGCTAAAGCAGAATCTGGAATGCTGGGTTCGTTCAACATCCAGAGATATTTCATGCCTCTCAATAAAGCCACTAGCTAGAAGAAGGAAAGAAACAGTTAGCTTATATTTATCCTTTCAGAAGCCTCAACGCAATGACTTTGTTTACTTTGTATTTAATCTCAGGTACAAAGGCATTAAAATATCTATTTGATGACTGGAGTACCAGAAAGCATACAGGAGACATCTTTTAATTAGTATTCAGCAATTTAACAGTAGGAATTTAAGGGCTTTTTGACGTTTGATAACTTAAAGAACCACTGCTTTTTATAGGGTAAGAGCTAACTGTCTTTATGATATTCCTCTGTGTGCCTCTGGGGAAACCATTTATTACTGTAATAAGCTGCTTTACTGTTTGAAGTAAGAACTGTCCTGTCCCCCTGCAGGTATAGGGCAACTAGACTTCCCAACTGGAAAACAAAGACAACAAAATAAGTAAGATTTAAGATTTTAAGATTTACTCATACCCTAGAATATTACTGTCATTTTAAGAAGCAAAGGAAAAAGATCAGATATAGGTTTAATCACAGTAATACGTACATTCCTTAGGATCAAAATTCTCACTCAGGAGGCCATTTTTGGGATTACAATTAATCAGAGGTTTGTCTAAATTAAACTGACAAATTTCACCCACCTGAATTTTCCATTCACAGTAGGTCTGATCTTCACACAGGTCAAGGAATTCCCACGTATTTCTGAGAAATAAAAGCAGCCTCTGGACTTTCTAAGACTCTACAAGGAAAAAAAACCACCACACCTAATCAGTTTTCTTTGTTTAATGATAGCAATTCACAACCAAATTATGGCGAAAAGTTTTAGTTTCCCCCATTATTCATTTTTAGATGAAGTTCTATGCATGCTGGCCATTTTTAAACTAGCCATAGCCTTACCAAATTAAACCAGAGGGGAAAAGATGCATAAAACAAGAAGCGAGAATGCTGGGAACAATAAAATTCTGGGAAAAAAAAAGGAGGATATGCCCCCATTGTATCTTAGTAGCTATGTCAGTGGTGACTAGTTGGAATGGTTGTTACTCAAAAAGTTAATTCAGATGGGTCTGATTCTCCTATAGGAGCTTTCCATCCTTTGTGCTGCCACCTAAAAGCATGTTTACTGAAGGGTCAGGAAAGGAAGGAGACAGGGCACAATTTTCAAATAACTTGGATGTCTAGGTCCCACATAAGTATCTTTGAAAGCGTTGTCACCACAGAACAATAATAGGTGGGATATGTTAGTGTTGTCCTAAAGCAGCGAAATTCCTAGTTCTGTTACAGACATCCAAAAAATCCTCAAGCAAATCTCTTACAGCTCTTAAAATGCAGTTCTGAGAGTACTATCGAGTACACTTCAATGCAGAAACAGGAAGTTTCCACAATATATCACAAAACTTGAACTGTACGCGTGCACAACATGGATGTACAAATTCACTTGGGCAAGAGACCATATCATGCAGATCACACTAATCAGTTGTTCCTCATCTTACATTTTAATTAATAAGAATACATACTGCTGCAGAAACACGCTCCAGCTACCCAGGCTAACTATACGCTACACTGGATGGAAAGCCAAGGAAACATCTCCCATCCATGAGATTCTCTGTGCCTCGTGCAGTCAAATGCAAATACAGAATGTGAGTGGGGAATCTCTCAGCTTCTTTGAATTACATTTTAGATCTGGTCTTAGCTACGGGTTAACTTCTGGAAAGCACCTGTATTCAGAACATCATTAAAGTGAGATTAGAATCAAAGAACTCAGTTTGATTCTGCAGCTGAGATACACGTTAGTCAGTATTCCAAGGCGTTCAATCCACAAATAGCTTGCCTAGATAAAAAAAGTCTAATTTAAGCAGTGCACAAACCTGTTTATCTAACAATAAATGAGGAACAGTTTCATGGGTATGGGTACTAACCTTGAGCATGGATTCTAACCCTTAACAGTCATGAAATCCTACACAAAGAACAGAGGCAAGATGTCTGTCAAGATCCAGGGTTTGGGCTTTAAATTTAGTACAATCACCTTCAAACTCCTGTAACGTTAAAAAAAATTAAACTTATAAAATGCATGTCTTTCCCCTGGGAAGAAAAGCTAACAAGGCAGCATATGGTTGTGCTAAACACATAGCTCGCCTCTGTCACTGCCCAAACTTCTGAGATTTTTGTATTTCAGGTTTTTCAGTACGATTTTAGCTGATGAGCAGTGATCAATGCTATCTAACAGTGATGCTTTTGGTTTGGGGTTTTTGGTGGTTTTGTTGTTGTTGTTATTTTGTTTGTGGGTTTTTTTCCAGACACTGAGTTAACAACTGAAGCACTTGCTTAGCAATACAGATTGTTTTTAAGTAACAGCATAAGATCTACACACATGTACCACTGCAAGATCAACATGTGTGTGTACTAGTAATATAGATACCCAAGGAAAGCAAATAATTACGGTATTTTTTTAGGAAGCTTGATAAGAGGGATAGCCACCTATGCCAGGTAATATTATTCCTTACTTTTATGCTGTTTCATCCTGTTAACCTTCCCATTAAACAAAGAACTTCTCAACAAATTTTTACAAGCCCAAATTATCTCTGCATATTATCATTAAGTAGGACATTACGAACATCAAACTTCAGCTACTCAAATACTTGAAGTCAACTCATTAAGTAAACAGGATCTTTTGACTCTGACTCATTGTTACATTTAATTAGATTACCTTAAGTATCCACGGCTACCACATGTATTAGCCAACAGAACAGTCTTTTTCTGCAGCACAGCTGTACTTTCTTAATACTCAAGGTAATTAACCATGTTCACAGATGAAGACTTTCAGGAAAATAATACCAGAGCAGAAAATACAGGTCCATATTAATGTAACTTCATGCTGGCCCTAATGGGAGAGCTCCAGCACCTTTGTCCTGTTAGCAACACAAACAGTATCATGTACACAGAAAGCTACACTTGCTCCTTTGTTAAATACGTTAAACACTGATCACCTGAGAAAATACTCTTTTTTTTCTCTACAGCTTAGCTGCATCTCTTTTCTGTTGCAAGCCACTTGAAAAATAAATAAGTAAATAAATAGAAGCACCAGTAGCCAAGGTGGACATTTATATAAAATCCAGCATCTTTGGGACGGTATATCAAATTAACTTGTTTGTTTAACAGTCTTCTTCCTTTCTAACCCCCTCCCCCTCAACTAACATTTTTTTTGTTTGGCTTTCTTTTTAAACACACTGCACAAACTCTCACATATTCACCCAAAACACATGACAGGCTGAACGACAAGCACTTCTCCATAACCAATAAAGAAATTCAGATTTAGTTCTGTGACATGTATTTAAAAATACGCCCATTTAACACATCGAGAATCTGTTTAAGGCAATCAGTCTGGGAAGCCCACATTTGTGCCCTGGAAGCTAAGCATCCTTTGGTCCTCTTCAGGGTCAGACCCCCCAGCCACGCCACAAACCAGACCATAGCTCTATTCTGGACTTCAGACAATTCCATCCACATATTAAGCAAACACACTGCCGATCCAGCAGCACATAAAACTTGTTCTTGGAAATATGCAGACACTATTCATGTATTATGCACTGAATAGCATGAACCTTGAAGCTTCTGACAAACAAATTAGCAATAAGATGACAGCTATTATTTGATAAAGCTCCTGAGTAGTAATGTCAAACCCAAAGGCAAATAATTTCTGAAGGACCTGGAAAAAAATATTTCAGCAATGACAGCAAAAGCAGCACAGTAATCGGTGCTTGGTATTCCACTTGTACTTCTTCTGTCAACACTAAGCCTGTACACATGAGTAAGAGCGGCTCAAACTTGAAAACTAATACTCATTGACTATGCTTTACTTGGCAATAAGCTGGAAAGTCAACAAACTTACAATGCAGAATGATTGTTAAGGAGCATGCTATAAAGGTTGCCTTTGTCCTAAGTCAGCCCAGTCACTAAGAAAGGACTCGCTGCCTCAAAAACGGATCAGCTTAAGCCATTTTACAATCTACATCTGGCCAAATATGGTAACTGCTATACTTCACCTAGCAGCTTCAAACTGTTATTTAAGCACCTCGCCACCATTTAAATGTATATACTGCGTATGCGAGGAATCCTGCGCAGAAGTAAAGGCAAAACAGGCAAACTGCATACAGACCTGAGAAGGGATGTCTTGAAACCACATGTCATGCAGACAAGGGTGCTTCAGAGCATCCTGCAGCCTCAGAAGGAAAAAAAAAAAAAAAAGGAAAAAGCAGCAGTAGGTCTCTGCTGCCGCTCACTTCTTCTTTCTAAGGCAGCTTTATAGCTTTGTGCAGGGATTAGAAGGAATTTAGTGTGAATTGTAAGGGATTTTATCAGAGGCGATGAAATTTAGAAGTGCAGTGAGTCCTGACCTTCAGACATGGGAAGCTTTGCTGTGGATTTTAAAGCAGTACCAGGATTTCACCCCAAAGACATTAACAACTTTGCAAGGCTTCTGCATGACTTAAACACGTGCCATTCATTTAGTTCAAATCTGGTTTACGACCATTCCTCTGGGTTTTAATTACCCAGATTAAGCCACATATTTGCAAGAAAAATCAGCGTGCATACACACAGAATATATTTCCTACCACATCTAACAGAACAGTAAACTTTCCTATTCTCCTAATAATTACATTATTAATAATATAATTTTAATAACAACAACTAAGATCCGGGTCCATTTCAGAAAACTTGCCTGTTAAAATAACACCTTACTCAAAATAGGTGTTCCTTGCACACACAGCACTCCCTCTCCTTAATGCACTGCCAAAAATACCATGCAGGAGGCCCAAGCTCCCAAAGGCCAGGAAAGCTTACACCCCCAGGGACGCTGAGCCCACCTCCTCATTGTCTGCCTCTGTGCAAACCCAGTAGGGCTTGTGGGTACCCAGGTGTTACGGGAAATGGCAGGGACACAGCTAGGAGAATCAGCTGGCCTGAGGATTTTGGGGGAGGAATGGGTGGATGTAAGTATAAAAAAAAAAAGTCAATAGGGAAGAATAATTTAAATGAAGATCAGTCAGCAAACAGATTAGAGAAAGGGGTTTTTTTAATGCAGCTTATTTGGGGTGATTGAATCCCACTTGTGATGGCAACCATTTGGACCAAGATGGCCAAGAAAAGAGTCATCACAGGGCACCCAGCCAATCTGCAGCTGGGGCTGCCTTATCTCCCCCGGCTGGGGCACACGCCTGCGAGGGGGCAGACCTGGCTTCACTGGCCTCCTCACCTCTAGAGGAATTTAATCAACACCTCCCCATAAAAGAGTGCCCTGGCTCCACAAAGGCACGGGGTAAAAAGGTAGGAGAAGACAGAGGATTTGGCTGCCATCCTGCCAGCCAGAGCAGCAGCAGTCAGAGGAGCAGCCCCACACTGCGGTACTCACGGGTGCCTCTGTTCTCCTCCCCATGCAAACGCAGAGAGCATCCTGTGCGCTGGGACTAGAGCCCACTCCAAGGGCAGGCAGCTCTAGCCAGCAGGCAGCAAAGCCAACTGCGTAACACAATAGGGTATGTCTTTATTTCAATTTATGTTAAAAGTGGATTAAATCCTCCAGAAAACACCATTTTCCGCATTTACAGATACTTAAAGCTATGAATTAACACCAAAATCTTGAAAGTGACCAAAAAAAGCATCTATGAAAAGAAGAGTAATAAACATTCTTTCTGGTTTATCACATATACATAAAACTGCTAGTGAGAACAGGGCTAGGAATTATTTTAGCAAGTATCGCAAGACATTGTGCCTACATTTAGCTTGTACCTAGGGCTAAACTGTAACAGTTGCTCTATCACCCAACAGTCCCTTACCAGCATGGGAAGGAAATCAGGAAAAGGAGAACAGACCCATGGGTTGAAGTGAAAACAGATTTAATGAACTACCACGAATACCACCAGAGGTGTACAGAGTTACACTGAGCCAGCCATCACAGTCAACCAGAGAACAGTCCTCAGGAGAAGCCAGAGGAGGAGCAGGAGGAACCCCAGCAGGAACCCCACAGGAGCTCTCTCCCCTCACCAAACCTTCCCCTCTATAATGACCATGACATGATGGATGGGCCACCCCTGTAGCTCACTCAGGTCAGCTGCCCTGTGACTCCAACTGGTGACGGCCTGCCTGGCATGGCTGGGCTGGGGTTCTGTCCCAGCCAAACCTGGACACATCACTATATAATTTCATACATTTAAGACACCTTCTCTATCTTTCAAGTAGAAACAACCAATTTATTATTTATATCAGAACTGTACATAAACTACATCCTAACACTTAAGAAAAAAGCTTACAGAACTGACTGTCAATTCTGTATATTGTATGTCAATAATTAACTGTTTTTCTTTAATTCTGGGCAATGTTGGTGGTGGATTTTGTTTCATTTTATCCAAATTTATTTCATATACTGAAATTCATTTTATTCACTAAAACTCCTCAGTAAGAGCTTTTTCAGCTTTTGAAATTCCAACATGTTAATGAAAATCTCCTAGATCAAATGAATAAAACTTAATTAACAGTATGTCTCTACAAAAAACAGCAAGAAACCTGATGTTTAAGATGTTTTTTGCCTCATTTGACCTTCTCCCTTCCAGTCTGGCAGGATGAGAAGTTAAAATCTGTGCCATCTTAAATAATGAATATGAAAAAAGTGTGGAGGAGCTACAGGTAATTCCAGCAAGGCTTTATCCTGGTTGAGTCGCTTATAGGATTAAAACATAAGCGGAAACGAATTGTCCCATAGAACATACAAATTTAACTCCATTTCAATTTTATCAGATTAAGTTTAAAAAGGCCTAGATAAAAAAGAGCAAGCACTGCTAATGACATACTTTCACGTATAAACAAGATCTATTATCATGATACAAAATGCTGCTATGAAAATTAAACATAACTCTTTCTCAGAGGAGTAACACTGAACCCACTTTAACCTCCTTTGTAATCCGTGCCAAACTAATTTCTATGGTCTCTGATTTCACTTGAATGAAGTTAATTGTTTTATGCCCCAAAGGGATGAAAATAACCGGTTTCTTGGCTGTTTAGAAGCGTGCAACACCCATTCTCTTTAGGAGCCAACCAGCCGCGGGTTCCCCAAGCAGACTCCTGGAGGACTGCAGACCCCTGGGCTCAGTGTTATTTCTTTTCATCGACTGTAGAAGCTTGTGCTGTTTCGCCCGTCAGCAGAAGGCACAACAGGGCTGCTGCTGGCATGGGATGACAGATTCATACAAGCGCTTTGGTTTGGTCTCTGTTCAATGCAGACAAAGTCATTTATTAAAATGAAAGTTGCAGAGCAATGCCAGCCTCTACAGGTGGCAAGGTCCTGGCGAACAAGGTCTTCCCATTGCCTGGTAGGTACTCCATGCATCTCTGGCCTCAAAAGTTCAGCAGAGGCCTGAAAATTTTTTGCACTCTGTCACTGTAGACTACTTGCTACAAAAAGCACCTGATGAGCTATAGAAGTTTCAATTCTTTCTTCTAGTCATACATCAACAGAACAACTGTTTAAATATATTTCAACCCACTATATACGAAATTATTGCCTCCATCAAGAAAAAAGAAAATTTTAACACTGGGATTAAAAAGAAAAAAATCAAGAAGTAAACCTGTGAGTACTTTAAGGTTTTATTTCAAAACTTTAACAGGGATCTTCACCCTTGAGTAAAATAGACAAGACAATACTTGTGAGTGTAAGCCATTTGCACAGTCAGTACCTCCTAAACTGAGTAACATTATAGAAGCTGGCAATTTTCTACATTCCATTAAAATTTAATTTTATACACAAAATAGTAGAAATATGAGCTAGATATTTCTTTATTGCTAACTGCCTTTTTAAATTTCTTTTAGCAGTAGAATTTATCTAGCTACAGATTTACTGCAGCTAAAGAATCAAAAACAATGCTGAAAACCTGCACATACTAATTGATTTTGCTACTGCTCCATCTCTCACCTATTTTTATGACAGGAAAAGTATCCACATAGTTTAAAGAAAAAAAAAAAAAAAAACAACAACAAACAAGTAACAAGCCAGCTCAGCACACAAAGGAACTTGACTTAATATGTATTTGCCCCTGCAGCCCCGATAACACCATCATGACTTAGGCTGTTATGTCAAGACAAATTATAGATTATTCAGTAACACACACATATAAACCCAGACAAAATATACATCTCATTCACTCTACCCTTACCATCTTCTACTACCTTGAAAATGTCCTGAGAAGCAGGGTAATAGCCACTTTCTTGGGCTTTTAAGATCTTAATCATTTTTTGAACAACAGGACCCTGAAGCTGTAATTTAACAAAGGAGAAAGCAAGCAATTAAAGATCACGGCTGCCTGTCGAAAGACTAGAAAGAGTAGAAGGGGGCACTCAAGCAACTTACAGGTGCACTCAGTGAATAAATACGTCTCAAGTCTACTAGCAGATAAAGGCTGATCCATGTCAGCCGAAATCCATGGAAAAGCCCCAAAAGCTTTTAGTGGGGAACAAACTGGGCTCTTCTTAATGTTCACTTACCTGGCACCACAACATCGTTAATACAAGCACGGAAGAAAGAGGATTAAACACAGCTCCCACACCATTTCACAGTTGAAAAGTAAATAGCCTTGTGTATCTTTTCCAATTAAAAAGAGCTGTTTCACTCATAACAAGCTGTGATTACTATCATTAAGCCATACTATCAGCTCCACAGCCAAATTTGGCAATAATTTCCCAGATATAAAACTTTGTTCTCGACCTCATTTTCTCCAGAGTGGGAAAAATGTCACAGGAAGAAATTAAAAAAAAAAAAAAAAAAAAGATGGACAAGAACAACAGAATCCCTTACAGCTACACAGCCCTTCAGCACTAACTTTCATTGCCCTCTAATATTTGCCCCTGTTTTTCTCTGGCAACTTATGCAAAGTCCGATTACTTGGGGGGAACCACTACAAGCTATCTGCAAAAATAAACCAACCAAAAATCATTTTGGTATCTCTTTTTCAGAGTGTGTGAGGAAAGGCAAACCAAAAGAAAGTTCCCCCTGATGTTTACAATAATACCTGAAATCACTCACTTGCTTATTTATATATAAAAGATCCTTTTCTTGCTTTCCAGGAGTTCAGCTCAGGTTGGGGGTCTGGATGAAGGCCATGCAGAATCCCTGTTCAGAGTGTCATGAATCTGATGTGACCACCTAACAACCATGGGTTCGATGGCATGTAGGACTGCCCTGGAATTAGGATCTTGTCTGCAAAATACAAAAAAAGCCCCTGAATTTCAAAGTAAGTACTGTGCTGTGGTAGTCCAGAGCTCTTCCCCCCTCCACTCCCCTTTATATTTAAGGATGAACAGTGAGATTTGGAATTTAGTTCTAGTAAGAGGAAAATCATAGAGAAAACCCTGAAGACAGAGCTAAACGTACTGTTTATGAAGACACAGATCACACTTGTGGACGTATTCACTAATCAAAACCATGGCCAAACACCCTCCCAGAAATTGTTGGCAGCAGATCCTTTGGGCAGTTCCTTGCAATTATTCCAGATGTGAAAAATCTGCATTTTACTGTTTAATTGTCTAATAAGTTAGTTACATGGTAATGTGGCATTTGAATGAATGCTGATAGTTAACATATGTAATAAAATAATTTCTTTTATAGATTTTTATTATACTTTGCCAGCATTTACAAAAAGAGGAACCAATAATACACAGCAAAACATTTTAATAAAATATTAATGGAACACTGAAGTTTACATTCTCCCTCTCCAGAGTTACACTATCCTGCCTGGCACACCCACTCCACTGCCATGACATATAGCAAGCAGCTGACCCTGACCAGGACCTTCAATCATTTATTATTGACAGGATTATAAATCTTCAGTTATCCAACAAGTGATTATCCATCATCTCTGTACAGTCAGGCCTAAACTGAAAATCAGGCACTAAGACTTGGAGGCAAACCAGAAGTGACATTACAAGTCAGTAATAACAGTAACTGGGCTATCTGTGACATAACGCAAACTACTTTAAATCTGGGAAGACCAAGCTAACCCAAGCGACACTTCCCAAACTCGTGACTATTTGAATAAAAATCAGCTTTATATTTTCTTTTTCTGTCAACATAAATACATACTTCAGTCTCAGTCAAATTGTACTGTGGATGCAAATTATGTTTGGGGACAGCATTACTTCCCAGCCAGATGAAAATCAATACTGAGCAGCTTCAGAAACGCAGAAGACACCACTTTTACTATCTCTCTCCTCCTTCCCTCAGAAAATAAAAGCAGATGGGGAGTGGGGGGAGAAGGGAGCAAGCATAGTTCCATATCTCCTATAACCAGTATTTTCCTAACAGGAAAAACAAATCCTACTAGTAGCACAAACGCTCCTTTCCATGGTTTAATAGCTACTAATATACACTATTTAAAGCCAGTGTACTTGCAGGCTATAAACTCACATTCAAAATTATTTCCTAGAAATAGGCACTGTGATATCCTCCGGGAAGATATTTTTTCAATGGTGCAAAGGCATTACACTGATTATGAGTTTTGCTCCAGTTCACACATTTATTTTTAAACCCTTCATCTTCCTTCACTACGTAAAGCTTTCCTAACTTCTTTCCACATTGTTTCTTAAACTCTGTCAGTACAGAGTTCTGCTCAGGAAAGCATTTAGGAACTTGAAGTATCTTACTATTTGTCATGACACTCGGAATTAAGCACATGCTCAAACCAAAGTATTTCGCTGAATCAGGTCCAAGCCATAGACAGACAATTAAAACTTCACACCAGCACCCCAAGCAAGCTTCTTGGAGGGATGTCTTCTTCAGCGTACAGACTTCAGCCACTTCAGGTCCTTGTAAGGCTCAAAGTAGTTTATTGCCAAATGTCAAAATCAACAAGTAACCTTTGAGTTACAGAACTCACAGAGATGGACCTGTGCTACCAACTCAGTTTTGGGGCCTGGTGCAGCTAAAGATGTGCTGCTACCCCCATACCCGCTGCCACTTACTCCTTTCTGTGCCGGAGTGATCTGCAAAGAAGAAACTGAAAAATAACCAAAAGGGAAGCAATAAGGAAGATAGTGATGCAAGTCTGCTCTTGCACAAGTAGTTACAAAGTTGAGGTTCACTTTTAGGGTTCAGCTTTGCTGGTTTTGACAGTGAAGACATGGACAGCACAGGAGCAGCCTCAGCACACCTGTTGCATTGCAATTACTGCTCAACTGTGCTGCATAAGCAAGTGGGCAAAAACACGAGCTATAGAAGCTAGGATGAGCAGCACAGTGCTTCTGTTTATCTGTTTTAACCATCACCCCCTCCCAAGACCTAATTCATTAGGCCCTGATGGAGTCACAGGGGGTTTCTCCAGCACCCTGAAGCGCACGCTCCACCCAAGGCTGCGCCAAGCACCAGAGCTCTGCTCCCACGGCAGCCCATCCTCCCCTCTGAAAAGCCTTCCTGAGGTCTGTCACTTGGGCCAGCCCCCATCTCATCCATAAGGAGGCCATGCCTTACTCAGCTTGGATGCTCCCTAGACACCCATAAGGCAGACATTAATTTAATGAGTTCATTTGTGGCTTTATAAAGGAAGTTATGCTCCCTTAACATAATAAAGTTCCCAAACTTCATAAATCTGATAGGCTTTGGGTTCGCTCCAGTATGGAAAAGAGGAGCAAAACTGACATTTTGGTGGGGTATTTTTCTGTTGTTGAATGCTGAAGTCTAGAGTTTAGAGACTAGATTTAACTATCAAGGCTATAAATGAAACTTCTTGTGTATATAATGAGCAAGCACTAAATTCATATTAGTATCTCTAAACTTTGATCTCTAATCTCTCCTTTTCAAAAGGTTTTTAAATACTTTAAAGCACTTTTTCCTGAAGCCTTTATTTATTTTTTTTTTAATAATACAGATGAGCAACACATGGAGTCTGCTAGTTACAAGATATTTAAGTTAAAACTTTAGCATGTGCTACTGCTGATAAATTTTGGCTTCTCTCTACAGAATATGCTAGTTCAGTAAACAGACACAATAGTGCTACAGATACTGTTTGTGATAACCAAATCATAAATACTTGTTTCCATAAGATCAAACCAAAGAGGAAATAATCCCATTCTCATTTCAAGCAGAAATACCTAAGCCAGCTGAATGCTTACATTAGCTTTCACAAAAATCAGCTTCCTCAATAAACACAGATTTAGCAACAAACTGAATTTAGCTGTCAACTTCCTCTTTTCTTTATGCTAGTCACGATTTGCTGTCACTCTTTTTCTTTTCCTTACTAATTTTTTAAAAAAACCTTGACCTTTCCAGACTGCCCAACAGTGGATTTCAGACGCATTCAGGTTGCTGTGCTCGAAATCCTTCTCCTTTGAAGCTGACAGGAGTTTTGTCATGGGCTTCAATCAGGGAGAGATTTCCTTCTCGGCAGGAGAGCTGAGGTTCTATCCCTGCCCCTATTCATAACCGCTGTCTCTCAAGGTCAAACCACGGAGATAATGACCAGCCTGAATCCAAATGCTGCTAACAAAGTACTAAAAGACAGAAAAATGAAAACTACTCTTTTTGACATTGCCATCAGTATTTATACACAGTCTCTGTAATATTGTGACATAAGTGGACACATTTATTCCCTTCTTAAAACATCATTTTTTTTTTAATAGAAATGAAGGAGTAACAACTAAAACTGTTCTGTGAAACCTATTTGGCTGTCTTGGTCAGAAATTTGGATTTCCTGAATCCCAACTACAGGCAGGTCTCTTCCTCAATCCAAAATTAGATCCTGGATCAGTAATTACAAAAATTTAGTCAGAACTACAGTATTTCCATTTTAAAACGTTATTTTGATGAACCAATGCTTCTCAAAATTTTGGGAAA